ACACTGCCTTCTCCAATTTAATATTTAAACCTTGTGTGACCATGAAAACTAAGCACTATCTGCCAAAATTGTAACAATAAATGCTTGATGAAAGCATAATGGTACTGTATTTTTACAGTATGAACATTTTGTTTACTCAAAAAAAAAAAAAGCATTTCAGGGAATAAAGACTGTTTCTGTGCCTGTCAGGAGGTAGTAGCGCAGGGCTGTATGTCTGTGTCCTACTGAATGTGGTGCATCAGCCACAGCTGTGGAAATTGCCTCAGGAAGCAACTGCAAAGTTTGCACAGGCCAGAGGAGTGAGAATATGTGAAATGAATGAGCCTGAAATTCCGTTCTGGATTCAACTCCCAAATTCACAGATTTGGTGCTGCTGGATAAATGGTGAAGGTTACAACATCGTGTAGCAGAAATGAGAATCTGTCATATGTAATTTGTACATCCCCACTTGCCTGAGCCTTCAGGGTTCAAGACAGCTTGCGAGTTTGTGCATCATGCTCACTGTAATACCATGTTGTCTGTCAGATTCTTGTTTCCCCATTTCACTCAGTAAACTCATGCTCTTTCACCTGCAGTGTGGTTATAAAGCTGACTAAGAAACCTGCATCAGCATCTGAAAGCAAATTCTGCTGTTCCACAGAATGTACCGGTTTTGGTTTTAAATGGAAAGAAACCAGAAGGAAAAGCAGAAGTTGTTTCTCAGATGCACAGATTGTTTCATGAGACTTCTGATGTCCAGTATCTTCATCAACTTCATGTCAATATGTTGAACCAGGAGAGAAAAGGGCAGTCAGGCAAATAGAACTGCTCCAATATCAGTATTTTAGTCTTTGAATGCTGTTTGGTTTGATATCTTCTAAAATAACTTTTGTAAAGGCTACCATTTTTTTCATGACAGCTCCAGGTTTGTTTTGGGTTTTTTTGTCAGGCTTTTTCCAGGCATTTTTTTGACAGGTTTTCTTGAGATTTTTCTTTTAGTTGAAATAAATAAATACCAGTAAAGTTTAATATTAAACATTTAGTATGGTTCAGTTAAGAGATAGCTTCTAGTGTGGCAATTTCAAGTGTTAGTGAAGAGAGATTTGCACGTGGCTAAAAAAGAAAACAAATATTTATTTGCAAGTAGATTTGCATGTAATACTAGGTAGCCTGGAATAGTTGTTTGTTTTATTTTTCCAGCAAGAACAGGAAAGTAGGCATTAGACTGGGTTGTTTTGGCCATACAATCAATGTCTGTCAGAGTGAGTCAATCCATTACTGGAATTGCTAGCAGGAGTGGTAGCATCTCTGGTTTATAGTAAATAACATGTTATGGCCAACTCTTCCCCTTATTTATCTCGGCAGGAGGTTAGAGGACAAGAATAATTTTAGCTGTACTTGAAACACGCTAAAACCACTTTAATATATGTGTTGTTACAGTCCTGATTAAGAACTATGGTTAGTTCATTAGGGTTTGAATAGTGAGAAGTCCCTATGAACTTATTTTTATAACACATAGATTATATCAGTCTCAACAGCTATAGATTTTAGTGCTTTTCATTAATTGTGCCCTTAATTAAATTCAGAGGCTTAACTATAAATTACAAACTAGCAAAGCTTAAATGCATGTTAATTAATTCAGTAGTTCAGTGTAACAGAGAAAACAAGGCAAAACTCTAGTGTAGAAATGACATTATGCTCTTACTGAGTATTTGAGCCAAACAATTACCAGTTTTATGTAGCTCCTGGTTTTATCCACCTCTTGGAGCTAGAAGAAAATCTAAGCGAACCTCTATTGAGATATACTCATGCATATGACAGGGTGTTTACGTGAAGTTGAACTAATGCCTAGAGAAGTTTGAGTTCTGGAATGATTTGTCTATTTTTGTCAATGTTTGACGTCTCTGCAAGGTTGGAATTAAGTCATGGTGGTTAATGGGTTTCAATAGTCTCTGCATGCCTTCCTCATGAGACTTGAATGGGCATGAAATGTTGCATCAGCCTCTAGTAGTGTTTTCTCCTTAGGAGAAAGTGTCTTGCCCACCTGCGTTTGCAGGTGTCTGAAAAGATCCTCATTTTCTACAGTGAGAAGTGAAACGTTTCCAGGAAGTTTCTCTGGAGCCAAGTTTGCTGCCCTGCAGTGGGGGAAAGGGTTTGACATTGAAATTTATGCCTAGATTGACTCATATTCTGGGGTGAGAGAAATAAAAACAATCAACTTTAAACTGCCGGAACTTCCAGAAGCAATGAGATAGATGCTCTAGAAATTATTTGTTAATTTGAGTTATTGGATATAGCAACTGTCATTTGAACAATTTTATATGGCTCAACTCTCCAGGACTGTAAGTAGTAAGCCATTCTTAACTGAAAATAGCACACGCACTGTATTTACAAATAAGTTATAACAACATTAGTATAGCAAAAGGGTAATATTACTGGTTTATCAAAAATACTTGCACGGTAAACTGTTCCATTTTTACTAGTAAGCATACTTTAAAATATTCAGTCCTAAATCTAGATTTTGTCAGTATGCAGAGATAGCCAGTATTACCTCAGCTCACTGAAACATAGAGGCTGTGACTTGTGGGTTGGCTAAATGAACACTCGAAAGATTATACTTAATTTCATAATTGAGCAACATTTGTCATCTGTAATACTAGATTAGTGCCTGAAGTTCTGTTACAACACCAAAATTATCCTGTTTCTTACCTTAAACGTGAACATCAACAGCTGCCTTTCCACCCTGTGTGTACTGTATGAAAAAGAATACTTGGCAAATAGAAAATACATGCTTTTCCAGTGATTGCTTAAATAGTAAATAAGTGTAATAATCACTAATTCATGACCTATGTTGTTGGTCATTCTTATTATGCTTTATCCTGTGAATGTTCCTGAATATTCAGTGAGTCTTAGGACATTGACATTATTAATGCTAGTCTCGATGTTACAATAGACTAGATGTTACATTTTGTATGAAAGCATTGAGTTAATGACCTGTGAACAAATTTAAGGGGCAAAAAGATATTCCTCCTTTGTTACAGAGGCTGTATCTGCCAGGTTACGTCGAATCTGCGGCTTGGATTAGATTTACGCTTTCATTTTGTATGTCTTACTGCCACCTCACTTGTTGGTGCTGCATTCTTAATTACTATGCAGCATAAATGTGTGAAAAGTGGAAAGTGTTGCTCAAGCTTGCTTTGGATCTTTTGACCAAATTTCTCTTTATACCTTCTCAGTGATTTATTGAAAGAAAAAAATAAAATTAGGAATTGCAGTATGTATGCTTATTCTTTTTTTTCCTCAAGAAGAGTGAAGATCAACGGAAGATGTTCATGTGTGTGACTGGTGAACTGTCATGTCCTCTGTCCTAACAAAACCTTTCCTCTTGAGGGCAAAAATCGTTGCAGACTGAGACGGATTGTCAAAACTTGAGGATTATGTGGTGGTGCTGAGCGCACTGGTAGGCCAGTCAGAGGACCCAGGCAGAAGTGGTAATTAATAGTTGAGTTCACACTGTGAACTGCTCTGTGGCAGCATTATTTCAGAGGGCTCATCCTTTAACCACCTCTATTCCTGTCTCAAATTTGGTTGAAATTGCTGAGGGAGGGAAGACAGCCAGGTAGACAGAGTGAGTAATGTGATTTCTGTACAAATGAGACAGTAGCCTAAAAGTATGTTGTGAATTCAAACCTGAGAATGATAGAAGTGGTTGCAAATTTAGAAACGTTTTCTTTGAAAAGTGTCAGTTTGAAACAACACAGGGTTTGTAATGGGTGAAATTTCTCAGTAAAACAGAATTCTGGTTCTCTGATAGTGAAATTAGGACCTGAAGGTGACTAGCAGACAAGGCTTCTTCTCTGAATATAAAACACATTTTAATATAATGAAAGCAAATAATTCTGCTTTAATCAGATAAAAATAATAGTTTATTGCTGTCCTTTTCTTAATTTATTTAATTTTAAATCCCATTTGCTTTTCTGATCTGCTTTAGATCCAGTTCAGGAAAGTATGTTGGCATAGCTATAAGGGTGCGGTATGTGATGGCAGAGGGAACAAGCAATCCAGGGTGAAGAGAACAGGAACCGCTTTTAACCAGGTCTGCTGCTAGGTGTGGATGCCCTCACCTAATTTGATTCTCGGGTATGTTAACAAAAATGTGAATGTCCTGCTTAGTTCCATTGGACTCACTATGAGATAAAGCAGAGGAAGGGGTAAACTGTTCTGCAGGCCACGTGTGAGGTCTTTCTCCTGTTTCCAGTATTCCCACAGCAATTCAGAATCTTGTTTGGCTTGTTTTATCCCTCTAAGTCTAATATTCCGTGTATGTAATTTTGACGCCTCTCCATTCTGAGGAACAAGTGAAATGTGGTGACAGAGGTTAAATTTATTTTCTTCTATTAGAGACATAATATCTTAATTTGTGTAGTAGATCAGGATACTAATCAGGTAACAGCAAAGGGTAGGTTTTGATCTCTCTCTAGAAAGTACTGGTAAAATATCAAATGCCGAAACCTAATTAGATGCCATTGCCTCATTAGATCTCATCCTTGATGAAAAACAATACAAACTGTAGTCCACTGGAAGGTACATGCTGTATGGCTTTGCTGCATGTATACAGGATGGGAGTCT